CTAAAACATATGAATTAAAAAGTGGGGCTTCCCTGGTGGCGCAGTGGTTGAGAGTCCGCCTGCCGATGCAGGGGATGCGGGTTCATGCCCTGGTCCGGGAGGATCCCACATGCCGCGGAGCGGCTGGGCCCGTGAGCCATGGCCGCTGAGCCTGCGCGTCCGGAGCCTGTGCTCCGCAACGGGAGAGGCCACAGCAGTGAGAGGCCCGCGTACCGCAAAAAAAACCCCAAAAAAGTGAAAAAAAGGAAAAAGCACAACTCAAAAAGTATCAACAGAAATCAAAATCAAACAAACAAAAAAGCAAATGGGGCTTCCCTGGTGGCGCAGTGGTTACGAATCTGCCTGCCAATGCAGGGAACACAAGTTCGCACCCTGGTCCGGGAAGATCCCACATGCCGCGGACCAACTAAGCCCATGCGCTTGCACTCTAGAGCCTGCGAGCCACAACTACTGAAGCCCGCGCACCTAGAGCCTGTGCTCCGCAACAAGAGAAGCCACCGCAATGAGAGGCCTGCGCACCACAACAGAGTAGCCTCCGCTCGCCGCAACTAGAGAAAGTCCGCGTGCAGCAACGAAGACCGAATGCAGCCAAAAATAAATTAATTTTTAAAAAGCAAATGAAAAATAGAAATAAAAAACACAAACCAACAAATATAAAGAAAAAAAGGACATAAGAAAATATTTAAATAAAAGAATAGAAAGCAAACCCCCAAATGCATGAGCAGATAGCAGTGTACTCATACCTGTTGAAATAATGCTCGGTGGAGCGGTGGCCTGCCTGCAAGGTGGGTAACAGCACTGCTTTCTCCAGCTCCAAAGCCTCCAAAGGTCCCTCCCAGAGGCTTGATTTGAACCCAAGTCAGTGACTTGGGCGGGGGGTGTGTGTGACATGGTTCTGTCCTGAGGGGTTACCTCATAATCCACTTTCAAAGACTTTTCAAGAAAATGCTGAGAACCCATCAGGAGGCACCTGTGTCTCGCTGCACCCCGCAATCAGAGAGCCCTGGGGTGGCCAGGGCACCCCTCACAAGTCTGTCCCATCAGTGGCAGCAGCAAGGTGGCCACCAGTCACAAATGGATGCCTGAGGCCCAAGAACCTCAGGAACACTGGATCACATGCAGACAGTGGCCCGATTTCTTGAATTCAAATGCCCCAGTCCCAGGGTGACCAGCAGGGCAAGTAGCCCAGACCCAGAGGTCCAATGGTGGAGTCTGCTATATGACCATGTTTGAGCCTCAGTCTCCTCATCTGTAAAATGGGAGTCTTCATTTTTCCCACATCATGGTGCTTGTGTGAGGATTAAACTTCAGGCCTGGCACATCCTGAGCTCTTAGTTTTATTATATACAAAACCCCATATTCTTGTTCCCACTGTATCCCCAGCGCCCTGTGCAGGCCTGGCGCTGAGGTGCTTTTGAGCACCTACTATATGCAGGGTATTGGCTTCACATATTGGGAGACACCACTGATAACTCCTGGATCCAGGAGTGGCCGTGGCAGGGGGAGAGGGAAGAAGGCACTGGGCAGCCTGGTGCAGCAGGAGATGTGGGCTCCCCCAGGATAGGGTAGGGGCAGCCTCATGAGAAGCAGGTAAAGAGAAGGGAAGGTAGGAATGGCACTCCCAGCAGAGGGCATGACCAGGCAAATGCCCTGAGGTGGGATACAGATTGGCCTACCCATGGGGGCCAATGAGACTGGGCTGGGGAGGGGTGGGAGAGGGGCAGATAAACTCAGGGCAGGCAGCAGGGCCCAGTGAGGAGGTGTTTTGGGTACCCACAGGTGCCCCAAGCCTAATCCAATCTCACAACCCTGAGAGGCAGTTTCTGCCGCCTGCCCAGAGAGGTTAAGCGAGTTGCCCAGGACCACAGAGCCAGTGTGACTTGGTGGGATTTGAACGCATGCCCGCTAACTCCAAGGCCTCTTGGGCAGTACCTCATAAAATTCTGCAGGATGGGGAATGCCCTGGCAGTCTAGTGGTTAGGACTATGTGCTCTCACTGCCGAGGGCCCAGGGTTCAATCCCTGGTTGGGGAGTTAAGACTCCACAAGCTGCGCGGCAAAACAAACAAACAAACAAGAAAACCCACACTAAAAAAACAAACTTCTTTAGGATGAATGAATGAATATATGTCTTCGGTGCGAAAAAAGCCCAGGGCTAGGCATTAACGGCCTGAGGCAAAAGGCCCATCTGGGGGGCGGGGCAGGGGTGGGTGGGTGTTGCCTGGTTTCCCAGCAACAGGGTTGGGGCGCTCTCTGGTGGTCAGAGCAGGAATGGCTTGGAATCACTGAGCCTTGAGGGGTACAAAATGGTGGCTGGCAGACAAGTCCCTGTTCCTAGTCTCTTGACATTCAAAATCGTTTATACACAGGCTCCAATTTGTAATTCCTTGACACTCGTGCTCCAATGCTCCCTTCAGCAGGAAGCGCAACTCCAACCAACTCCTATTCGTTCTTCAAAGCCCTGGCTCCAATGTCCTCTCCCCTGGGAAGTCCTGTCTGTCTCCCCAGGCTGAACCAAGTCTACTCTAGGGACTCATCCTCCGGCTCAACCTCACGGGGCTGGAGGGTATCTGCAACCAGCTCTGTCTCCTCCAGACATGGAGTACTTCAGAAAACCGCTTTTATTGCCTGTTGAGTCTGTGATTGCCCCTGCTGTGTCCTTGCACCCAGCAAAGGGTCTGGCATACTACAGGAGCTCAATGAAAGTTTGTCGAGTGGATAAAGAAAGAAGTGCATGATTGGCCTAGAACTAACCTCAGAAATGACCCTGGCCTGCTGATTAATTTTTTGGGGGGTTTAGGTTTTCTGCCCTCTTCTCACCCGAAGACATCATGGAAACAAGGCCATACCTGGCAGGCCTCAGACTCTCTTATCCCATGTGCCACACTGAGACATGGGAGGGCAGCCCTCCTTGATTCAGGAATGGGTCTCCTGTCTGTATGCATTCAACGAATGTTTATGGATTGCCTGTGTGCCAGGCACTGTTCTGAGTCCAGCTGGGAACAAGATACAAAAATCCCTTCTGTTGTGGAGCTGACCCTACAGTTTATCAGGCGGAAATGAGTGCTATTGCGGAGGGCGCCTCAATAGATGGACATTTGAGCAAAGACTTGAAACGTGTGGGTTAGGAAGCCACGCAGGTGTCTTGGGAACGGTGCACCGGGTAGGGGCACAGCCAGTGCAAAGGCCCGGAGGTGAGAGCGCTCAAGAGCGTCCCAGGTACAGTGAGGACAGAAAGGTAAGAGAAAGGTGGGACTTGGCAATAAGAGCAATAATGAGGGAAGCGGGGACCTTTGTAGATTTGTAGAAGAGGAGGGGCTCGGACCCGCCCAAGACCCGCCTTCGGCCTTTCCCGCAGCCTTCGGCCCCGCCCCCAACCCCACCCCGGGCCCTGATCCAGGTTTGCCAAGGGTACTCGGCCTCGCCCCCTCAGGACCCGCCCCCCTGCCATCCCCACAGCCTGGCCCCGCCCCGGCCCTGCGCCCGCTCCTAGTTTGCCCCTCGGCAGCCACCGTCGCCCGGGCCACCGCCCGCCGCGTGCGTTGCCTGCTCCGTTTCCGCCGCCCTTCCCTGTCTCACGCCGTGCGTGCCTTGCGTGCCTTGCGTGAGCGTGCGCGGGAGCGTCGGCCGGCGAGGGAGCAGCAAACGGCCGGCGGCGGGCGGCGAGTGCCGCGCGGGGGGCGGGCGGCGCGGAGGAGGCGGCGGTGGCCATGGCCGAGGCGTCACCGCAGCCCGGACGGTACTTCTGTCACTGCTGCTCGGTCGAGATCGTGCCGCGCCTGCCGGTGAGGCCCAGGCCAGGCGGGCGGGGGCCTTTGCCTCAGCCTGAGGCGAGCTGGCTCGGACGGGGAAACTGAGGTCCCCGCGGAGGGCCCGGAAGCGGGCGGCCCTGGTGGCGCAGCTGGGCCGGCGGCCGGGAGGGAACGGGGCCGGCCCCGAGCGCGGTCGGCGCCGCGGCCGCCTCGTGGGAGGGAGTCGCCGCTCTCCGGGGCCCGACGGCGGCCCAATCCTGCGTTCTTCTGCCTCCCGGGGGTGGGGGCCTGCACCCAGGTGGGCCCTGCGCCCTCGCCCGGGTGGAGGCCGCGGGAGGGCTGCTCGTGAAAGGCTCGGTTTCCAGACCTCTCAGCCCGGAAGTTCCGAGTCGGTAGGTCCAGGATGGGATCAGTGCCCCAGCTCCCGGCCGACCCTCCCCCGCTGCACGGGTGGAAGACTGAAGGCACGGCGGCCCCGCTCCCGGCATTTGCCGCTCGGCTAGCTCCCGGGGAGCAAGAAGCGGGCGGTGCGGTTGACCAGGGGAAGGAGCTGCAGGTGGCAACGATTGATAGAGTACCAGCTCTCCTTGGTCACCTGGTTGATTTTAGAGCCAGGCTCTTAGTCCTGCCTTTGCAGCTGTGGGCTTTCCTGGGGGAGGCAGGAGGAGTTGGTGGACATAATCCCAGCTTCAGAGGAGACTGAGCTAGAGTCAGGGTTTGGAGGGGAGAGGAGTGCCTGGGCCCAGGAGGAGAGAAAGGGTAGAGGTGGTGTGGCTTCCAGAGGCAAGGGGCTTGGCGGGGGTGCATAAATCGAAACCCTGGGTGCATGAGCAGACTTGAGGAGCTGAGACTTGCCCCACTCCCCCACTCCAGCGTCCCGGAAGAAGTCCTCCTTCTGCGTCTTCCGGCTCCCTGCACGCCCCAGCAATGGGTCTGGTTTCCTCGACTGGCAGGAAGGGGCTGGTCGCAGGACAGTCCCCAGCCTGGAGGAGCTGCACGCAGCCCCTCGCAGCTGTTGTGAGCCCTGGACAGGCCCTGGGTCTCAGGCTTACCCCAGAGTGGCCTGTCCAGAGCCATCGGAAGCCTGGGGCCGAGCAGTCTGTGTTGCTAGCTGTTTTGGCCTCCCCTCCTGGGGCCAGCCTGGGGCCCGGGTCCTGGCCCCGAAGGACCCTGATCTTTTCCGACTGTCACTGGGCTAGCGAGGTTTTTCCTAGTCACAGGATCCAGTGGTGACAAGGTAGCCATGACCTTTGCCCTCCCAGTTTATAAGGAGCCAACGCTGAACAAGCGATTGGCAAATATTTGATCGGGAACTTGGTAAATTCTGTTAAGCGCAAATAATGGCAGGGAGGGGACCGGCGTGGAGTTTGGGACGGGATTGGAAGAGGCCCAGTAGAGTGGGTGTCTGTTTATGAGTAAGGGGCGCACTTGGTGTTCTCGGGGGCAGGAAGGTGGGCTCTTAACGTGGTGACGTTGGAAGTGCCCCACCAGCAATTGCGCTCCCCGCCACCACCACCACCCCTGCCCCCCAGCCCCGGCCGCCCGCCAGCACGGACCTCTGTTCACGGGAAACCGGCCCGAGGTTGGTGTGCAGTGAGACGCTGGCTGGTGTTGAGCTGCTCCTCCTGACCTGCTGTCGCGGCCCTCTGCCCGCAGGCTTCCTCCCAGCAGCCCAGACGCCCTGGGCCTCGGTCTCCTCGCCTGTCAGACGGGTTGGCGAGGGCACCCCTGTGCTTGACGGGCACGCGTGGGCAGGGGGGGCCCGGGAAGCCGGGGAGGGGCTGGTGCCTGCCTGGAGCGGGCGTGTGGGAGCAGGAACCGGACCGGCTGGCCGATCCGGAGGCCTCTGCGCAGGTGCGCAGGCCCAGACTCGATTCCCCCAGGAAACGGGAGCACCAGGGACGAGGTGGACATGGGGCGTCCGCGGGCGGGCCCCGCGGGTGGGCGGACCAGGTGGTGTTTGGGGTTTGGCCCACCACCACGGGTGGCCTTGTTGAGGCCTGCTGTCCTGTGGATGACCCCTGTCTTCCTCTCAGAAGTGTCCCTGAGCAGGGTCGGAGGACGGGGACAGGACCTGGCAGCTGCCTCGGAGGGCCATCAGGGTGAGGAGAGAAGGCCCGTGTGTGTCCCCAGCCTTGTGCACCCGCACCTTGTCCTCCACACAGAGCCGCTGGGGAGCAGGCTGGGCCCCCACCCACCCGGCGTGCTGTGCTGCTGCCGAGGGCGCCCATTTCCCCCGCTGCTGCCGAGGCCCAGGGAGGCTCAGCCCTGCGCCTGGAGTTGAGACCCAGGGGCCCAGAGATGAGGGCTGCCCCACAGGGCGGGAGTCTGGGGGTGCAGCAGGGGGCTGAGCCCCGGAGGGGCGGCTGGACGAGGGGTGCCAGACAGAGCCACACTGTGGGGCTCCCCGGCTGCACCTCCAAGCCTCCCGGCGCCGTTGGAGGCTGAAGTGAGGCGCACCCCCGGCAGGGTGGGCCCATGTGTCACGTCGATGGGCGCTTGCCGGCACTTAGCGGGCCCCAGGTGATGCGAGGCCCCGGGACGGTGCTGCACCCCGGCATTCAGCAGCATGCGTGGGGCTCACAGACGCTGGGGAGGACAGAGGGGCGTGAATGCGCTTTGTGTGGCAGCTGCTAAGACGCAGAAGAGAGTGCTGTGGGGCAGGGGCACTTGCCCACGGGGTCTGGGTGGGCCCAGTGACATCTGAGGAGGGGTGCCCCTGGGGTCTGTGGGCTGGTGAGGTCAGGCTGGGAGCACGAGGGGCTGCAGGGGCGTGGGGAGTCTCGTCAGGTCTGTATCTGGACCTGAGCTCACATACCCCCCGCAGCTCTGCGCCCCAACCTTTTCTGGGGGCCCTGGGCCCGCCGAGGCCAGCATCTCTCCAGCTCCCACCTCAGCGTCCCCGGCTTCACCACACGCGCCTGGCCGGGCACCCTGGGTCTGCACGTGGTGTGAAAGGGCGCGTGAAGGGTGAGGCCTGTCTCTGAGGGCCCCAGCTGGCTGAGCACAGGGAGCAAACGCTCAGTAAACGTAGCACTGTAGCACTCGTCTGCCGGTCGGTGGCTGTTGCCGTGGTGATGATGACTGGATGGCCCTCTTGCCGGCCATCTCCTCAAGATGAGGAGTCTTCGGCTAGGAACAGGTGCTCACGAGCTAGGGTTCTGCGAGGGAGACAGGCCCTGCCCTGTGGGGGGCGAGCACTCCATCCCAGGGTTTCCACCGCTTTTATTACACAGTGATGTAATAAAAATCTCAGGGACACGCCCTTGGAGGAGAGCATTGGAAGATCAGGGTCTGGGCCTTCCCCACTGCCTGCGAGCAGAGCCCGGGGCCCTGCCTGAATCCCTGGGTGCGGGGCGATCACTGCTCAGCCAGGCCACTCAGTCTCAGGGCGTGGGGCTCTCCAAGGATGGAGGGCGCAGAGCAGGGCCTGACCACAGCCAGCACTGAGCTGCAGGACAGCCGCGGCTGCCGGATTCCAGAGCCTGGGGTTGAGGCCACCCTCCATTTGCAGATGGGGAGACCGAGGCTTGCAGCCGGGAGGTGATGTTTGAGCAGACCCAGCTTCCAAGAGGGAGCAAGCCAGGTAGATATCTGCTCGGATCGAGGGGACACAGGGGACAGGGGATGGCAGAGGCCCAGAGATGGGCGGAGCTGGGAGTGGGCGTGGCCGGGCTGGGTTGTTCTGGGGCTGCAAGGTGAGATGGGGAGCACTTGGGCTCAGAGAGACACAGGGACTCCAGAGAATGGCGAGGTGACAGGCTCTCAGGCACCCAGGAGCAGTGGCGAGCCTCAAGAGTGGAAGAGGGGGTGCCCGATCTCCAGCAGGGTGTGGTGCCGGCCCCGCCCTGGCTCTTCCAGGCTCACCCCGGGGCAGGGTGCGGGCCTGGGGCAGGCAGGGTCCCCAGGAGAGAGAGAGAGATGCTTCTCACGGGGGTTCTGCCAGGCTCCAGTGAGGTTCTGGACCTGCCTGCTGACCTAGATCAGACCCTGGTGGTGTGGGCAGGCCAGAGTCCTAGCTTGCCTGTGAGCTTGTGTTCAGGGGCCGTCTGGTTCCCAGCTTCCTAACCTCGGTCACCACAGACTCACCTGCAGCCACGTTTGCCTGTGTCCATTGCCCTCCCCCCGGGGGCTGGGCAGAGGGGGTGAGAACCCTGGTCACCCATCACAAAGCCTCCTGTGGCCACGTTTTGCACCCTGTGAAACGTTGAAATAAACAACAGGTTGAGGGCTGGCTGGGGGGCCTTAGGAGGAGCCCCTGAGTGATGTCCCCGCCGGCCCTGGAAATCCCACGCCAGTGACTACTGTCATGGCCACTCACTGTGTAGGGGAGCCTCCCCTGGGCCCCTCGCCCCTGCTCAGGAGGGCAGAGCACTGCCATCCCTGTTGTTTCTGGCTCAGCATTATTGCGATACACCACCCACTTAAAGCATACACGTTGGTGTGTTCAGTCCACTCAGAGTCCTGAAGCCAGCAGTCACCTCTGTCCAAGTCCAGAACATTCCATCACCCCAAACAGAAGCCCTGTGCCCATCAGCTGTCACCACGGCCCCTGACAACCACTAGTCCACTCTCTGTGTCTGTGGATTGGCCTGTTCTGGACGTTTCCCATCAATGGATCACACACTGTGTGTCCTTCTGTGTCTGGCTTCTCTCACTGAGCATCCTGTTGTCAGGGTCCATCCACGTGGTAGTGAGTGTCGAGGCTTCACCCCTTTACGTGGCCGTGATGCTCCCGTGTGTGGAGGGACCATGTGGTGTTTGTCCGTCATCCGCTGGTGGACACTTAGGTTGTGTCCACCTTTGGCTGCTGTGGACGTGCGTCTCCGTTGCCTCTGGTGGGCACCTGGCTGTGGAATCAGGGTCGTGGGGTGACTGTGGCTGTTTTCCGAGGACGCTGCCCCGTTTCACGCCCCCACCGGCCATGTAGGGGCTCCGATTCCTCCAGCTCCTCCCCGCACTGGTCCCTGTTGGCTTTGTGGGTCCAGCCGTCCAGGGCAGGTGTGAAGTGTGTCCTGCTGGTTTCGGGTTGCGTTTCCCTGTTGCCTGTGTTGTGTGTCTGTTCTTGGCTTGTTGCCACTTGTCTATCTTGGGAGAAACGTCTGTTCTGATCCTCTGTCCGGTTTTTGTGTTTGTTTTGAAGTTTTGAATTTTATTTTTATTTTTTTATGCAGCAGGTTCGTATCAGTTATCCATTTTATACATGTTAGTGTACGTATGTCAATCCCGATCTTCCAGTTCATCACACTGCCATTCTGTCTGGCCGTTTTTTAACCAGGGTGTTTGTCTTTTCGTTGTTGAATTGTGAGAGTTCTGTAGGTATTCTGGATACAAGTTCCCATCACCTGTGCAGCTCCAGCCGCCCTCCCCGTGGCTCAGACAGCGTCCTCTGATCCTCGACCTTCCTTTGCTTTCTGGAGCGGGGCACGTGGGGGGACACGGTATGCACCGTGATGGTCCCGCCGTCCGCAGGGTGGGCCGTGCCCGCTGCACCCCGCGGAGGGTGGCAAGGCCAGCGGTGCCCTCTGCCCCCAGGAACCGCGCCTCTCCCCGTGGGTACGCGGCTGGCCTCGGGTGGAAGGACCTCACGCTCGCGGCTCAGCGCCCTGTTTGCGTGGCTTTGGGACACGTGTGGCCTGGGCCCGGTTCTGGGCCAGAGTGGCGGCTTTGGTGCTCAGACGTCTTGCCGTCCCTGGGGCAGGTCCCCCTCTCCGCTGCCTTGGAACATCATGGTCTCTGCCCGCTGGCTGTCCGGCCTGGGGAAAGCAAGGGCTGGGAGGGCAGGTAGCCGGTGTGGATGGAGTCGAGCTCCAGCCTGGTGTCATGGGCTGCATGCTGGGGCTGCCAGAATGTTCCGCAGGCCGGTCCCTCTGCCTGGGTGGTGCCTCCCGCCCTTGGTGGCCACCTTCCTGGGAGCAGATCTGCTCCGAGGCCCAGATAGTCCTGGAGCCCCGCTAGTCACTCTCCCCGCCCTCCTTTTTGTGCGAGTGTGGGTGAGGGTGTCACAGAACACTCTCGTGTCCCCCAAGTTGGGAGAGTTTGCTGAACCCACGTCAACTAGCTTGTTGATGGATGCGGCTGACTGGAGGCCCTGAAACTGTGACTTCTGTCACTGTGGGGAGCACCGGCTGATGGACTCGGGGACATGGGAGGTCGAGGAGGCCACCTGCGAGGGGAGCATCGGAGGCCGTAGCCAAGGGCAAGGGCGTCTGTGCGCCAGCCCTGCCCGGGGCGGCCCGGCCGGACCTGGCGGGTTCACACCCAGGGCCTTGAGATGACGCCCATGCTGGCCCTACCACAGCCCAGAGATCACGCTCGCTGCCCTCTCCTCCTGCAGGATTACATCTGCCCAAGATGCGAGTCTGGCTTTATCGAGGAGCTTCCAGAAGAGACCAGGTAAGGCTGCCCCCGGCACAGACCCCTGGCCCGAGGGTGCGCTGGCCGAACCTCGTAGGGGGGACGGGGGGGCCGTGACGAGGGCCAGCGGCTGGACCTGGGTGGGGGTTGGGCTGGACCTCCGCCCTTAGGTTCCTCAGCCTCCTGCCTCGGGCCCTGGGCAGGGGCTGTGGAAGGCGGCCTGAGGCCCATGGGTAGGGGGGGTCCTGCTTTTGTCCCACTGCTGACGGCGCCTGTCCTCCCAGGAGTGCAGAGAATGGCTCGGCCCCCTCCACAGCCCCCACGGACCAGAGCCGGCAGCCGTTCGAGGTGAGCGGTGAGCAGTGGCCTCTCTCCCTGCCCCCGCCCCCTCCGCGCCCCCATCCACGCGGTCACGGCCCTCCTCTCCGCAGAACGTGGACCAGCCCCTGTTCACGCTGCCGCAGGGCTACGGGCACTTTGCTTTCGGCATCTTTGATGACAGCTTCGAGATTCCCACCTTCCCCCCCGGGGCACAGGCCGACGACGGCAGGGACCCCGAGAGCCGGCGGGAGAGAGAGCAGCACTCCCGGCACCGGTACGGCGCCCGGCAGCCCCGCGCCCGCCTCACCGCGAGGCGGACCACCGGCCGGCACGAAGGCGTCCCCACGCTGGAAGGGTGAGGGGGCCCGGGGGCGGCCGCGGGCGGGACGCTCGGGGCTTCGAGCCCGCCCCACCCCGCTCAGGCAGAGCAGCCAGCTATCCTTCCAGGAGGTTCTGTGGGCACGGAGGTGTGGGTGCTGGCTCAGGGGCTGTCCCCTGGGCAGGGCAGTTCCCCGGTGGGTCCGGCTGGCCCGAGGAGCTGTGTGCCCACTGCCTGCCTGCCTGCCCTCCCCCACCGCCCCCGCCCCCAGTCGTCCTTCTCAGAGGGGCCTCCGCCCCATGGGCATCTTCATCTGCTGAGATGCGCTGGTCCACGCCCAGACGAGCCGTCCCGGGTGCAGGCGAGCAGTGGTATGCGGTGTCCGGTGTCCCTGCTCCTCCCGCGTGCGGGGTCATGAGGACAGGAGGACCTAGTAGGCCCGTCCCAGCCCTGCAGGAGTCGGGGCTGAGCTTTCGTGGGTCTTTGTAGATGGAACTTGACTGCAGGTAGGCCGAGGCCTGTCCAGCTCAGGACACAGCCTTGGCTCACTGTGACCTCAGCCGGCACGTTTCAGGGCCGCCGCGAACAGCCGGGCTGATCCCATGGTTCCTCAAGCCCCTGGGATCCCCCACGGTGCTTTCCCCAGGTTGCAAAATGAGAGTTGGATGCAGTCGTGCATTGACAGGTGCCATGCAGCCCTCAAGGAGACACTGCCTTTGGGCGCCTTTCGTGTTTGGTTCTTATTATTACCAGTTGAAAAGCCAGCCCCTTGATGCCGGTCCCTCCCTGGGAGGGCGCTAACCTTGGGCCTGGCTGCTCTGTTCCAGGATCATCCAGCAGCTGGTCAACGGCATCATCACCCCGGCCACCATCCCCAACCTGGGCCTGGGCCCCTGGTGAGTAGGTGGGGGGGTCCTCCTGTGCCCTGTCCGGCCCCTCTGCCACTTGAACCCCAGACTTCTTTGCCCAGGGGCGTCCTGCATTCAAACCCAATGGACTACGCCTGGGGGGCCAACGGCCTGGATGCGATCATCACGCAGGTACAGGGGCCTCCCTGGGGCTGGCACTGGGCACGACGACTTTATAGGCCCGTGCTCCCTGGAGGACGGGGTGTCGTCTCCCACGTCCGCGTCCCTGGTGGCACTTGTGAGGTGGGGACGTGACCACCTTGGGGCCTTCCACTGAGCATTTTTGTCACTGGCGCCTGGTCCCCTGGTTGTAGCCGCGCGAGGATTTGGGGAGGTGCCTCGGCCGTGGGAGGTGCCTGCCGGCCCCGGCTGTGAAGTGACGCTCACTAGATGAGAAGAGTGGGCAGAAGCCCGGGGCTGGGCCTCCTGGGGGCAGCTGACCTCTGACCCCTGAGGGGGTCGGGCCAGGACAAACGGGGCCTCGGTGCTTTTGCAGGTAACCCAGCCTTGCATTTCAGAGCCCCGTGGGGCGAGGGCCCTGCCCGCCCGCCAACAAGCTCCCGGCACTCTGGCCTCTTGTGTTTCAGCTCCTCAATCAGTTTGAAAACACGGGTCCCCCACCCGCAGACAAAGAGAAAATCCAGGCCCTCCCCACCATCCCCGTGACCGAGGAGCACGTAGGTACGCGCCTGTGCCCAGCCTTCTCAGTGGTCCGGAGGCCAGTGTGCCCTCCATCCCCTGGGACACCTCTGGCGGGGGCTGCAGAGAAGCCCCCGAGAGCCCCATGGCCTGCCCGCTCCCACAGGCTCCGGGCTGGAGTGCCCCGTGTGCAAGGACGACTACGGGTTGGGCGAGCGCGTGCGGCAGCTGCCCTGCAACCACCTCTTCCACGACGGCTGCATCGTGCCCTGGCTGGAGCAGGTGAGCGGCGGGCCGGCCCGGGACCCTCCCCGCCCCGCCCACCTCTGAACAGCTCCCCTCTCCCCTCTGTTCCCACAAAGCACGACAGCTGCCCCGTCTGCCGAAAGAGCCTCACAGGACAGAACACGGCCACCGACCCCCCGGGCCTGGCGGGCGTGAGCTTCTCCTCCTCCTCGTCGTCCTCCTCCAGCTCGCCCGGTAACGAGAACCCAGCCAGCAGCTCCTGAGCGTCCCAGCCGACCCCCAGGGCGAGCACCGGGCTGCGGGTCGGGACTGCGGATGCCGCGGACTCCCGCACCCCTCGCGCCCACGGACTGCAGTGCCGCCGGGGCCCCCCCCCCCGCGGCACAGGCTTGGAGGACCCGCCCCTCCCGGCTGCTGAGGGAGCCCGGCCTCCCCAGGGCCGGGCGGGCCAGGCTAGGCACATGCCGCCTGGGGCGTCTGACTCCCTTCCTGTTTGTCTCTGACCTCACCCTCTACGTGTTCGACGGCAGAAAGGTTTTTATAATTTTAAATTATTACTGCTTTGAAATAAATGGACGTTTGAGCTCACTCGCGGCCCTGCATGATCTGTGGAGAGACAGGGTGGAGTCGCTCGGCTGGGGTCCCAACCGCGTGGACAGGCCGTTGCGCCCCACTCCAAGCTCGGGGCCCCGGGACCACCAGGATGACCAGCAAAACAAGGACGAAACTGCTCTGACAGACGTTTTTTAAAGGAGAAAATATGTGTATCTTGAAAGCTATTTAAAAATACATCTACTTAGAAAGAAAAGCAGGTGGTTGGCGTGTTACTTGTGTGCGTCGGGGGGCGCAGCCCCGGGCCGGAGAGGTGAGCCGGCCGAGCCCCCGCAGCTGGCGTGTCATCCACAGGCTGTCCCCCATCAGGGTCACACGGCTGCCTCGGCCGGTGAGTGTCCAGCCTGCGCCCTGGGAAGTGCCCCCCATATTGGTCTTCTGTCTCTGAAGTGGAAGCTGGCTGCTGGGAGGGGTGGGAGCCTCCCCTGCACCCTCTTGGCTCCACCCCTGCAACTCGGAGGAAAATCAACCCCCAGGAGGCTGATCACGCCCCACCCCCACCCCAGCCTGTACACCCTGCCGGATCTGAGGGGCTCTGAGGACACCGTGTTCGCGTCTCCAAGGGCAGCTGTGACAACTCACCAAAACTTGGTGACTTAAAACAACACGCTTCTCATATCAGTCCTGGGGTCACAATTTACATCTTAGGGGCTAAATGCAGGCGTGGGCAGGGCTGGTTCCTCCAGAGGCTCCAGGGCAGCATCGGTTCCGCCTTTTCCAGCTTCTAGAGGCGCCGCACCCCTGGCTCGCGGCCCCTCCTGCATCCTCACAGCCAGCAGCGCAGCATCTCCCGTCTCTCTCTGCCTCTGACCCTCCAGCCAGCCTCCCTCTAATAAGGACCCTGGGATGATGCTGGGCCCCTCAGGGAATCCAGGGTCGTCCCCGTCTCAGGGGCCTTAACTTAATCCCACCTGCGAAGTCCCCTCTGCCTCATGAGGTGACACGTGCTCGGTGGCCCAGGACCAGGCCCTGCCAGTCTGTGGCGGGTCGGTGTTCCCCAGGCTCCCTCACCTCCTCGCTGCCCCAGGCACCCCAATGAGTTCCCAGGTCCGAGCCTTTGCTTGGCTGTGCCCAGCCTGCAGTGCCCTCCCAGACCCGGCCCCCGCGTGGCCGAGTCCCCGTCTCCCGCCTGGCAGGTGCTTTTGTCGAAGCCTCCCTGACCCCAGCTTGTGACTGGACTCCTATGGCCCCTGCTCAGCTCAGTGTCCCCTCAGACTCAGGGGCTCCCTGAGGGCCGGCCGCGTCTGTGGGGTCCGGCGGTGTCCCCAGTGCCCAGCACAGCAGGCGCTCAACGCATGTGAAACCACTGAGTAACCAGACACGGGCTCGCCCGGATCGGGCCTTCCCCGGCCACGGTCTTCAGCTGCCCGCCCGGCTTGCGCGCCTCCTGGAATCTCGGTCCAGCCGTCACTCATGGATCCTGGGCCTCAGGAGACCAGGACGGGCAGGAAGTGCGTGGACGGGTGGTGTCGCTGCGTGCGGACCCCGCGCCCCGGGGCCCCCCGCCCGTCCAACGCCAGGAACATGGGCCGGCCGCGGTGGCGCCAGGGCACGGACTCGTAGGTGTAGCCCTTCTCCTCGATGCGCTCCCGGAACTTAGCGCAGACCCGCTCACAGCGGCCCTGGCCACGCCCCTGGCCACGCCCCCACTCGGGCGCGCCCCACGCACCCCAGCCCGCCCCGCGCACTTGCACTCACCGACCCGGAGCCGCGGCCGCGGCGGTTCATGGCCACATAAAAGCCGGTGTTCACGGCCTTGAGCGCCACGACGCCCACGCGGATGGAGCGCATCTCGAAGAAGACGCCTGCGGGGAGGGGCTGGGTCAGGGCCCGCCCACCACCCACTTACCCACCCACCCCGCTCTTCATTCATTCATTCGTGTGGGGAACATTCCCCAAGTACCTACCGTGCTCCTGGCCCTGTGCTGGGCGTGGGGATGCACCAGGGACCACGCAGGTCCGTGGGAGTGGCCGTGGCCGTGGGAGTGACGGGGTGGGGGAGGAAGGACACCAGGCCAGGGGGAAGGCCTGAGGCAGGACTGGCCCTGATGGGTCGGGGGAAGTCATTGGGGAGAGCTCAGGGTTTTCTCTGGAGGGCAACGGGGAGCCCAGGGGAGGGCCCCGTTAGTCAGGGATGAGAAAACCAAGCCAGAGGAGGTGAGTGCCTGCCAGGTGAGCTGCTGCTATCAGATGTAGACCCCCGGCAACGACCCTGACAGCTCGGCTAGCCACGGCCGTGGCCGGTTATGGGGGAGACAATTCCAGACAGGAGGTACGGCCCAGGCAACGGCCTGGGGGTGGGACACAGGGTGTTTAAAGCACAGTGTGTTCGCATCCATGATACCCGCTAACACTGCTTGAGTGCCAACTGTATGCCAGGCATTGTATCCCACCAAGCCCACACAGCAGCCCCTGGAGGGAGGTGTGGACCGTGCCCACAGGGGAAAACTGAGGCCTGAGAAGTGGCAGAGCCAGTTTCTCGGGCCCTGTCTGTGGATGGATGACCCTGGGCGAGCCCTGCCCCATCTGAGCTGATGTTTCCTATCCAGTGAAGCAGAGCTGGGGGACAAGCCCCAGCCCACACTCTCTGAGCCACACCCAGGCACTGGGGCCTAATCTGGAGTCAAGGCCTTGCCCTCTGGTGTTCACTCTGGACTTGGATGCCTCAGGTGACGGGCAGCTCACCTCACGTCCCACAGGACATTTGCACCTGCTATTTCCTGGGTCAGGCACTCAGCTCCTCTTGTGCATGGCCAGCTCCTTCTTTATGAGGCTCAACTCAAGCCCACCTCCTCATTGTCACCCTTATCGCTGCCCAGATGGGGAAACCGAGGCTCAGAGAGAAGCACTGACTGTCCCAGGTCACCCAGCAGAGCCAGACCTCACCCCCAGCCCGAGGCCACCCTTCCTGGCCAGGCCCAGCACTGAGCAACCGGCCCAGCCACTCCCCCTGACCTTGCCCTCGTCCAGTTAGCCTAATGAGGGCCTTGAGAGCCCCAGATGAAAGCAGGTGGGAAGGGCAGGGGTGATTATCTGCCCTAATGGTGGTGATTCAGGCAGTGGCCGGCAATGGCTCAGCTCCCCCGCTCCCCTGCCCAGCCTCAAAAATGTGGGGAGACTGAGACAAGCCTGGGGTCACCGACCGCCCTGGTCTCCCACTTATCACCAACCTCCTCCTCCTTCTTTGTCCCTTCATCTCCTCTTGCCTCATACATTCCACAAACACTTATTGAGCACCTACTGCTTGCTGGGCAGGGCAGCAGGGATATGACTCCAACTCGATGAGGTTCTGGGCACTTTGGAGCCCTAGCTCCATGCCCCCACCTCCCACCTCAGGCAGGTCATTTGCCCTCTCTGTGCCTCAGTTTCCTCATCTGCCAAATGGGTGTCTAGGAAGACATAGAGGGGTCCCCAACTCTGGCAGGTCCTGAGTTTTGTTTTGCAGGGTGGGGAGTTCAGAGTTCAAACCCAGCTCTGCCCCCATCTCATTATGTACTGGGCCCACGGGGGCCCTTCCGGGAGCCTCAGCTTCCCCTCTGTAAATGGGTCCTGTGACCCCAACGTCAATTATCTCACAAAGACCCTTCTGCTGAGCCAGGACCAGAGCTGGGAGCTTCCCCTGTGACCTTCACCCCAACTGTCCAACCCTCCTTCCAAGTGAGTTGGACCCCATTTTACAGTTGAGGAAACTGAGGCCCCAGTCAGGAAATGACTTGGCTGACGCCACACGGCCAGAGAAGCCTCCGGACGCTCCCTCAAGTGAGAGAGGGCCCAGTTCACTGCTGCTACTACTGCTGCCTTTGCTGTTATTGTCCGCCTATCTGCCCTGTACCCCTGCCCCCGCGCAGCGCCCCCGGCTACTCACTGTCAGGGCTGTCGCGCCAGCGGGTGCCCTGCACGTGGCCGCTGGGGTCCACACACAGGAAGAAGTGGGTGGAGGAGAAGAGGCGCCGTCAGCGCACGTCGCCCTCCAGATGCATGTAGCTGCGTGGTCTCCGCGGACTGTTTGGGGTCCCCGCGGCGCCGGGCGCCCGTGCCAGCAGTAGCCACGCCAGGCCCAGCCACAGGCGGCCGCGTATGGCCCCGCGCCCCGCTCGCCGCCGCCTGGTCTTGACTCCCCGCGCGCGTCCGCGGCTCTGCCATTGCGAGATAGGGGGCAGAGTGCCCGACGGGGCCAATAGGGCGCCTCGGGGGCGGGGCCAGAGCCACAGTGGGTGGGCCAGGATGCGGGGCGGGGCCGTGGTCAGGGCGGCCTGACCGCCCTGCAGAGTCTGGGACAGGCCAATGCGGCTCCTGGGGGGCGGGGCCAGAGCCGCAGGGGGCGGGATGACTCCCCACGGGGGTGGGGCCAGTACAAGGGCGGGGCCCATTCGGGAAAACACTCCGGCTCAACGCGTGTTTGTTTGCCTTGCGGGGCGGGGAGGGGAGGGCGGTGCTTGTCCGTGAGTAGCCAGATTGGCCTGCAGGGGCTGCGGGAGTGTGAGAGAGGCGGGCCACAGAGACACGGCGGGAGTCAGAGCCAAAGAGAGGGAGAGACAGAGCCAGAGACAGAGGGATATAAAGACAGAGCCAGTGGGCTTCCCTGGTGGCGCAGTGGTTGAGAGTCCGCCTGCCGATGCAGGGGACACGGCTTCGTGCCCCGGTCCGGGAGGATCCCACATGCCGCGGAGCGGCTGGGCCCGTGAGTCGTGGCCGCGGAGCCTGCGCGTCTGGAGCCTGTGCTCCACAGCGGGAGAGGCCACAACAGTGAGAGGCCCGTGTACCGCAAAAAAAAAAAAAAAAAAAAAAAAAAAGAGCCAGGTGTACAGCACAGGCCTTGTAATAACCTATAATGGAAAAGAATCGAAAACAGAATAGTATATATGTATAACTGAATCACTTTGCGGTATGCCTGAAACTAACACAACATTGTAAATTAACTACACATCAATTTTTTAAAAGGGTAAAAAAAAAAAAGAGCCAGAAACAGAGAAAGACAGAGACAAGAGACTGAGAGGCAGAGATAGACAGAGACTAAGATGGAGGGACAGAGTCTATGAGACTGCACAGGCAGAGATGGCTGAGACAGAGACAGAGACAGACAGATGTGTGAGAGACAGAGAGACAGGGAGAGACGGAACTGCCCAGGTGTCAGAGGTTGGGATGGAAGTTCTGGCCCGAGTGCCTGTCCTTGCCAGCCAGGCCCCTGAAC